CAAAAGCCACAGAAGCCACGAAAGCCACGAAAGCCAAAAGCCACAAAAGCCAGAAGCCACAGAAGCCAGAAGCCACGAAAAACAAAAAACATGCAAAAAAGGAAACAAAAAAATATCCAAAATTAAATGGCCCTCCAACAACAACTGTTTGGCTCGGATATGTCTCTTCGAAACCTCTGCTCCACTCCACCGGAAGACGCTGCCTCAAGGCGATCCACCAGGCTGCCCAATGCACCTGAGCGCACAGAGCACCGCACATCGTGTTTCTATCGGCGGGGAGGCGGATCTGAACGTCGCAGACGTTGGGGGAGTAATCAAAAAAACAAAATTAAATGAATAAATACGTCTTGTGTTTCTGTATTTTATGCTTCTTTTCTTGTGTTTTGCAATGCTTTTGGAATCTTTTGGGTGGCCTTCTCTCCGTATGGCCTCCTGCTTTAGAATAAGCATCCCAGCTGAAACCATGGATTCTCTTTTTTCCCAAGCCTGCCTCCGTTGCTGTCGCTCTCGACCAGCGCGTTGCTTTCTAAGATAAGTTCTTGTAAAACCTCAAGAGGTGAGGCAATGGAATCCAATGGTGTACTCCATGTTCTTGTGAGCATGGATAACCGTTAACCCATTTCCACAGCTTCCAAATAGACACACCACTGCAAGCAAACTCAGCTCCAAAGTCATAAAGGCCACACAACGCTGTGGGACTCAGTTGAAACTAAATCTGCTCCAATCACCAACTCTCAAACTCCTTGTCAAGTCATTCTTCACTCAACATCATTGAATGCAAGCAGTGCTTCAGCAGCCCCTTGCCACTTCCCTCCACCGACCCATCCAAGACACGGCATCCAAACGCTCCTTTGGCTTGGATACAGCTCCACCCCAGGCACCACGCCACACCAGGAGCACCAGCAGTGCTCGCTGGCTCGCGACTCCTGTCATGGCCTCGTGGGGAGGGGCCCGAACCGTTCGTGCAAAGCTACTCGCTCTCGGCCTCCAGGGCTGAAACATCACACTGGGTAGTTCTGGTGGTTCCCCAAGCAACCCATCATCCGCAGAGTGATTATATATCTTGTTTAATGGAGTTTGGATTTATATTTGGATGTCCATGTGGAGTGAGACTCCAAAATGTGATCCAAACTCGTCAAACTCATGGCCTGCAGCACGCACTAAACATGGTAGAATTTCAAACCACATGATCTCCTTTCAAGATTTCAAGCAAGAACCAAGGAGGCAGGAACGAGCTTGAAAAACGAAATCTCCTTCTGCATCCCCCATGCCCACTGAGAACTCGGACTAAGCATCCGGAAATGACACCATCACGTCTTCATAGGTCTTCTGAGTCTTCTACTTTGTAATCTGATCTGTCTATATCTGGGACATGTGTGTTTTTTTTCTCCATGGGCTTGCTGATGTGCCAAGCGCATCTGCATGGGCGACAGCCGACTGCGACAGCGAGGTCTGTCCATTTGACCAAATGCCACTGCGGCCCATTGTTCATCCTTGTTCATCAATAAGATCGGAGTTCTCCCCTGGCCCTAGTCTGCATCCCTTACTCAAACACCAAAGGATACTTCTGTACTGAAGCATGTGCAGCATGTCCTTGATCCAAAAAAAGGGTCAGGATGCCTGGACTCAACTGCCAAGGCACAGGGCAAAAGACAAACCAATGCGCTGGTTGCTGGCACACTCAATTGCCCTATAGCCTATGGGCACTTACTCAAGCATAAAGAATATCTGGGCCAGGCCAGCCTCTGTTTTCTTCCACACCAGCCAGCGGCCCAAGGGCCTAAGGTTTCAGCCTGAGAATCTCCTCTCTTCATCCAAAATCTTCTGTCACCAAAGAGCCCCCCCAAACATGTACTTTCCGAACATGTCACAAAAAAACGGATTCATAAAAAGTCCCGAAATGATCGTCCTGGCAATTCGCTGAATATATATCCCTGAATCTCATCGGATGGATATTGAGAATCACCTCCATCTTGGTGTGTCATGGCCACGGCTCGACTTGATCATCACCCCAGGCCCCCGTTTTCGCGCCTGCGACCCACTCCAGCTGGTTGCTCAGCTGGCCGTGGGAAGCTCTGGAAATAGTCCTCATCAGTCGTCTAATCGTGTCATGCAATCGGGGTTTACAGTGGTTTCAGAGTAGATGGCGCAAACCCCGAGATGTCCTTGAGATAGGTGTCCATATCAACCACCGACCTGGGGGATTGTGCCATCTACTCTGAACCCACTGTAACGCATTCGCACTCTCATGCCTTCTGGGCGGCCCTTTTTCCGCGGGAGCTTCTACCCGTTGAACGCGGTTGTTGCCTGGCGCAGCTGGCGCCTCGGTCCCAGGGAGGTTCCGCCAGGGGGGTGCAAGGCTTAAAAGGTCGCAAGAGCAGAATGGTCTTGGAAGCTGCAAGACTATGAGTCGATAAGACTTTTGGGCCCTTTTGGGGCCACAATGTGGGCATCTGGTCACCGAACTGGCTAGAGAATAAACACATTTCTTTATAATAAATGTCTGTACTTTGGCATACAAGCCATCCTCTGCAAGTTGGTGAGAGCCCTTCTCTCAACCGCCGTTGGCCCTTGACACCTTGAATTGAATAATAATTTCTTTGGTAGTGCGTTGGCTCTTGAAGCCTGAAAGCTGATTCAACACTGGACGGGACTCACGGTGGTGCTTTGACATTCTGCACCTGCTGTCAGGATCTACTGCATCTGCGCCCGCAAAGCCACACACTTTGCAGGTCACAAGGTGGCGGTTCCCACAACAACGGCCCAGCTTGGCCGGCGAACTGTACCAAGCCACCACAGTGTGGACCACTGACATCCACAAGATGCTCCATTTCACTGGAGCATGATGGAGCAGGGATAGGCTTTTCAGCTGGGTTCTACGAATCAATCGCAAAGCACCGGCCATCTGACGAAAAAGACTCCATGCAGTCCCTTGAACAAAGTTATTCACATGTTAACAACGACAAGCTTGGCCGCGTGGGCACAATATCCAGCTGTCACATAAGACTGGTTTTGTAATGTCAGTGAGTCAGCCAGAATGCATTTTGTGGTGAAATGTCAGCTGGATTGTGCGCGCAATAAGAACATGCCCCCCCTCCCCGTGGACTCGAAAGCGGTCCCGTTCGGACATGCACAAGGAATTGATATCTTTTACTCCTAGGCCAGAGAAAGCACCGTCTTTGGCAATGTGTTGTGCAACTTCATGTCCCTCATCTTCAAGCGAACGAGCCTTCTCTTGTCCGTGGACCTTCAGAAATTGCTGAAACACTGAAACACCCGAATTGGCTCAAGTGGAATGACAGGCCAACGGGCCGACAAGCCAGTGATGAAAAAGCAACCTCCCACTCCTGCCATGCATTTTCCCTCCGGGGTTCCACACAAGCACCGGTCAAAGCTAAGTTAGGGAGGCCATCGCTCTTAGGTTGAAGGCCATCGCTATTAGCTCCAGTGCAACTCCCCAAGCTGTTAAACCAAGACAAAGACATTGCCCGCAGCTGTTCTAAGTGACATGTCAATCCGCTCAACGAGCCCAAAGAAGATTCAACGCCCTCAGGATCTCCGCTGAGAAGCTCCTGCGGCCGGATTTTTGCCAAACTGCATGCAGTAATTGTTCAAATTTGGAGATTCTCTAGATCATCATGGCTTATCTAATAATCTAATCTAATTACAGTACGGTTATGGATGGTTATGTGGGCTGAATTGAGTGTCGAAGTTTTTGGCATGAAGTTTAAACACTTCCTCAAGCGACTCAAGCGACAACTCCAACACCACGTCTGTGCAGGGGCTCTCCCATGTCATCATCCTGTTTGATATCGTTTCTATGATGATTGCATGGGGATCCACCTGAATCCCTGTCAAGTTGGCTAACACACAGACTTTTCATTGGACCAGTGAAGAGAGTAGACTGAGTAGACAATATCGGCTGCATGTAAGAACCTCCAACCAATGCATGAGAACACAGCTCCACTGCTCCACGGACCTTTTTCTCTCTTCTCAGCTGCTCCCCGTCTCCAGCAGCTCCGCCAGGGCTCCGTAGCCCGCCCTCCGAGCCACCTGCGCCGCCGTGCGGCCGCACGCGGCGGTGCCGGCGTCGGCGCGCTGCGCCAGCAGCGCCCGGCAGAGCTCCTCGTGGCCGTTGGCGGCGGCCGTGTGGAGCGCGGAGATGCCGGTGGCGGAACGGTGTTGCAGGTCGGCACGGTGGGAGAGCAAGAGCTGACAGATGGGAGAACCAATCCTCGGTTTTCAGGGAGTTGCTGATGTGCATTTGGGTCTGAACGGGCCGTGACAAGCCCAACGAAGCCATCATCTGTTCCGACATTGAATAAATCTGGCAATACAAAGCCATGATAGATCTGAAAGCCCGGAGCAAGGAATCTGTCCACACAATGCTAGCTTCTTGTTGCTAGTAGCGATGCCTTGTTACGTTAGCTTCTTGCTACTAGTAGTACTGCCAGGAGCGCCCCGTTCGTAGCTTCTTGTGACGTTCGTGCAGTGTGATGGGCGACCTGCTCCGGAACTGAGATGTTGTTCCATGATTCTCCGTGATTCTCCAGCAATGCTGTGGACTGCTTCATCAAACGTCAAACCAAGAGGCCCAGCTGCCAAAATCAGCGCTGTCTTCCCATCTTCTGAACAGTCGTTCACCTGAGCGCCAGCTTCCAGGAGCTTCTCCGACCTGAGTCAGGTAAGTGAGGCAACAGAATGATAATTCAATGATGATTCAGGCAATAGTGATCAACAGAAAGGCAAAGGGTGTCTCTGGTGCATCTGCTCAAGCGCCCGTCCACTCTTCTAAACCGCCAATCACCCACCAGCTGCCACCTTAACTGTCTCTACACCTCTACGCACACTGCAGCTACGCCACATCTCCTGGTGCCCTGCGGCTGCCGCCAACATCAGCGGCGTTTGCCCGCGCTCGCTGAGGGCATCTACATCCGCCCGCGCCCGCAGTAGCTCCTCCACGAGGCTGATGTGTTGAGCAGCTACCGCGATGGCTAAGGGCGGAGCTCCTCTCAAGCTTTGAGGCTCATTGTATGCCTGGACCCTGGGGGAAGAACAAAGACATGGTTGTTTGTTGTTTTTCACCGTCTCGCCGGAAGTTCCCTGACGCAAACAACAAATGGCAGCAAGTTCCCGATCGAAGACCTGACGCCAAAATGACGCAGAAGCGACAAAGAACAACGCGCGTTACAGTAACAAGAATCGACAACAACATTGAGCTTCGCCTGAAACTTCCCTAACCCCCCAAAAAAACATTTAAAAAACAACCATCTTTTGTGGGCTGTATGATATGGGATGAATTAGGTATAAGGAACCGTCATGGTAGTGAATGGTGGTGGCACGTGAATCTAAGGGGTCGAGGTGAGGCAAGCTCTGCTCAAGAGCTGTTCCACAAGCCTCGTGTGCCGAGTAACGTGTGTGATATACCGTGCTGAGCAAGGAAAAAGCCTACTTGCCTTCCCAAAGCTTTCGCGTAGCCCAAGGGGTCTCATGATGTCTCATGTGCAAACAAGAGAGACCAAGCTTTGCTGTCGCGGACAAACAGTCCTTTCCCCGCACCGCTCCGGATCTGGGGATCCGCTCGTGCAAGCAAAAGTGCCTGGCGGGTCGTCTGGGTCGAGTCGACGACCGAGGGAGGTGAGGTTTGTCGACAAAGCACTTCCACCAGCCGCCTGTGCAAATGACAGCTCAACAAAAGAACAGTTGCAGGCCTGGCAAAGTTGCAGGCTGCCACTGGCTGCTGCAGATGCTAAGGGCGTCCGTCCAGCTAGATCCCTCGCGTTTGACGCAGCGCCACTCTCCAGTAGCAACTTGGCAGTTGAAGTGCCTTCAGCATCCCGACTGCTCCAGAAACTGCAAAATTTGGTGTTTCACAAGCCAAAACATCCGTAGAATTGTTTCCTCATGTACCCACCTCATGCCCTAGAGCGCTCAAAGACCTTCCAGCACCTGTTTTTTGGTTTGTGTCCTTTACCACCCATCCACCCATGGCTCTTCCAACCAATCTCAGTTGCGCCCTGCCAAGGCAGCAGCCACCAGTGGAGCTCCGTCCACCTGCGCGTTCGCCGCCAGCAGCGCCCCCACCGCTGCGTCACCACCCACGGCGCTGGCCGCGGCCAGCGGCGTGCGGTGGCTGCGGTCCGAGCAGTTGACGTCCGCAAGCTGCGCACAAAGCAGCTGGATGAGCTGAGGATTTGGTGAGCTGGCGGCAACAAGCACAGCCTTAGACACAAAGGAAGGTAAGGGATAGGTAAGATCTGAAATTGCTGGTGAGTTTGGATGCACATCCTGCTATATTCCGATGGGGTTTGGACAAGTTCATTCATGGGGCCTGAGAATCATGCTACAGCTTCATGCCATTTCATGCCCAAGAGCGGTGGCACCATCATGTTCTCTCGCTTGGTTCACATCTGTGCGACCCTTCAGAAGCTCCAAGACCATCTCGGCATCTCCGCAGTTCACCCAGCCAATCAGCGCCTGCCAGGCTGTCAAGGTTCCTACATGTTCGGACTCAACAGGAATCAAAGAAGACCCCCTTATTTTAGCCCGGGCATTCCATTGGTTTTGCAATGTTGTGCCACTGCCTTGGAAACTTGTTGAACACCTGTGGACAAGGATGGATCAGTGCATCGGTGTATCAGCGTATCAGTGCGGGGTGATAGGTCCTTTCAACTGCTGTTCACGGTCGCACTGGCACACCGGTTAAAGCACTGTTTGGTTCGTCGCTGGCACTGTGCCATGCAAGACGCTCATCTTCCTCTAAAACTGGTGGGAACCCGATGCCAACTTGACCCGCCTCCGCACTGGGCACAGCTTTTGCAGCAGCTAACCCGCTGAGGAGCATTCGAGTGGTTTGACGGTTCCCCAGCTGCGCCGCCTTCTCCAAGGATGTTCGCAAGCAATCCGCACTTGGAGTGTTGGCCTCTCCCAATCTGATGGTAATAATTCACATGATAAGACGCGTTTCGAAAAAGGACCCTAATTAGATCCAATGAGCAAAATGAAGAAGAAACAATTGGTACAGATTGATTGATCTTTATATGTTTAAACAGATCTTAACTGGAGTTTTGAACAATGACCCTGCATGTTGTCCCACGACTCCTGGGTTATCGGATCTACAGTTTGTTCCGTTGAACAAATAGTGTCGCCCAGACCACTGACCTGTCCACGCCTCCAGCAGCCTGGCCACGAGCTCAGGAGGCCCCTGACCTGCTGCCTCTCCCAAAGGCGTCTCACCCAAGCTGGAGGCCCTTGAGACATCAGCCTTCGCCTTCAGCAGTGCTTCTATGCTCGGCCTGGACATTGCACGACCACGAAAGATTCGAACATTGAGCAACCCAAATTCAGACCGTTTCAAATTCTGAGAACTCGGCTCCGAGATGAGAACAGCCCATGAACCAAGTGACATTAAAACACCAAGGCTTTTCGACGTTGTCAGGCCTGGCAGTGATCCCCAGCTGCACCGCGCGCAGAAGCGCCGTCCCCCCATGTGGGTCCGTCGCATTGGGGTCCACCTGATCGTGGGGGGTCGATGTGGATCGGTCGTTTTGCGCGGAATAAACATGTTAAAACGGGAAGTCCAATCCGAAGTCCATTGAAGTATCTTCCGGAACTAAGTCCAGTTCAATAAGAAGATGATCTTGAGCATGGTGGTAAGGTCCAGTTGAGTGGACATTGCTACCAAGGCTGTATCTCTACCAAGGAGCCACATGACCTGTCGCTTCTCTTGTCTTAGAGCATCCCAGCACCTGGCTGTCTAGCAAGGCTTCCAGCAAATGGTGCTGCCCTTGCCGCGCGGCCAAAACCAAGGAGAGCTCCCGCGGCAAATCCGTGGGCAATTCTGCAAGCAAGTCCTGGAACTTGGGATGGACAGGGTTGGATTTTTAACATGGAACAGCTGATGGGTTCTGAGGCCACAAGATTGGGGCATGTATATTCGATCACTACATCATTATGACCTTTTGGAAGGATTGCCCCGGGTCACTGCTTGAACCCCAAAAAATGATAAAAAAGGTGGGTGTTGAAACGCGCCCTGAAATGGTATCAAAGAACATAGGACCATTCCGGACCCCTAGGTGGTGAAAGGGATCAACGACACTCTGAACCACCCTCAATCCAACAGTATTGAAGCCTCTTGAGGCCTCCTTCTCCTCCTTAGTTTCACAAGATAGTCTCCCCCCTAAAGAACAACTATATATTGTCAAGGGCATCCAAGAGCCCCTTTCCTTCCACACACCCGCTCTCCCATGGGCTTCTCATGACTTTTTGGATCAGCATTCTTGTGTCTTGTGACCTCCACCCGGACCCTCCACCCTGCACCGAAAACCATCACAAACAACCCTAAACAGCAGTGGTCCTGGCCACGCTGAGCACCTGCATGCCCCTCCGCACTCGGCGACGTCGGACTCCTCGACTCCTCGTCGCTGGACTCGCCCAGGTGGTCAAAGCGTGAGTAGTCCAAGCGGTTGGCCACCATCGTCGAACACCGGTCGGCGGAGTCCGCGACCGAGGAACGCGAGGAACTGGGGTGAAAAAGATCCGGTGCTCCGAACCGGTTCCGAGTCGTTGCATCTGTTTTTTTGGTTCGTCTCGTGGATATCACGGTTGGTTGGTTGTGGTTGCATCGGTTGTGGCCTTTCAAAAGGAAGTGTGCAAACATGACCTTTTAGGCCAAGGAATCAAGGAAAGGAGCTGGGCGAAGATCTTCCATGGATCTATACCCATCCCTTCAATCCCCTTCTATATCCTGGACACTATCCTGGATCCTTTTATACAAAGCTCGTCCAAGAGCTCCCTTCAACCATGAACATTGTTAGCTTCATCACGGTTCATCAAGTCATGAACTGGGCTGGGATGATACTTTGAGCCACTAGCTGCGATTCCATACAAGTATCTCGACCACCTTGGTAGGTCATGGTGGAACTCATGACCCAGCCATGCTTAGCAACTCTTAGCACTGGCCCTATCCATTTCATCACCAATTCAGACATATTCAGCCTCAAATTCTGGTTCCCAAGCAGGGCTGAGACTGACGTCAGGTCCCATCCATTCGTTTTTATCCAACTCTTCAGCTTCCGACTCCGACTCTTCACCGAGACATCGTCCAGTCCTGGGCGAAATGGCCAAGACACCAGCTCGCAGGCCCCGTCGATGAGCGTGTCGATCACATCTTCAATGACCCTCGGGTCAACTGCAAGTTTGGAGGGATTCGGAGGGCATGCAGCTACTCCAAAGGTGAAGCATGACAACAGAAATGACAACAGAATTAACAGGAATTATATAAGTAGTATAGAGTCACCTATCTATCCAAGACCAGGTGATACTGTGTTACCAGGTGCAAATGATGAGGGGGGCCTAAAGGTCCCAAGGTTGCCGGTTCTGGTCGATGATTTTACCAGGCGAATGCGGCTGCAGCCCACAAACAATCAAGTGCCCTCCAAATGAGTAGTTCTAGAACTTCCAAAGTAAACCCCTCCAAAACAGGCCGTTTAGGCAGCAATTGCCTAGTACTCTTGACTGTTAAGAACTTCCCAGAAGTGCTCCTCTCTACCAACGCGGGGGAGCAGGGAAGGTTGGACTATTTCAGCCAGGAGCTGTAGGACCTGCTCGTAGAAGCGCAAAGGCTCTTGTGACACTCCTTGGAGCAACGTGAGCACAGAAGAAAGCCTGGTCACCTCTGTTGAAGATAAAGAGGCAGCTCATCACGTGCTAATCACTAATGACGGGAGCCAAGCATTTTCTTTGGGCCCAAAAGCACCGAGAGCCAAAACACATCCTAATACCAAAGGTGAACAAATGGTCTTGAAGATTAGAAGAACTAAGGCTTGACTTGATCAACTCCATTGACCATGCGATGTGGATGATTGGGGCAGCATCTGAGATGCTTCCATGCCACAACGTTTAGCAAATGAGTCTAAGTGATCCATGCCCATGCAAAACACGGGCATGGGCATGATCTCACATGATTGAAGTGATGGAGTCGTGAAAGCCATCCAGGCATGCATGTTACAAAGAATCCATCCGGTCGCAACTTGGAACCCAAAGTTGTAAGTGCAGCACCATGCGCCGCAAAGTCGCTGGCTCCCAACCTAATGGCGTTTTCTGGTGAAGAGAAAGACAGCCCCCCCGTGCTCTGGTCAAGTCTCGGATGGCCTTTTGCTGGTTCTCCGCGCTGCGCCGCGGCAGTCGCAAAGAACCAGCGCTGCGTCCGTCGCGGACACGGCGGCGTTGTCCGGAGCGCCAAAGCGCCACTAAGAGGAGCGCCAGGAGCACCTGGGGCGGTCCCTCCTTCGCTCGTTCGTTTCGGCGGAAGAATGACGGGGATGATGCATGGGAGACGTCGAAACAATGAAAACACCGTACCAATAAACACCATGCTCTCTACCATGGGGATGCCAGTTTTCAGGGGTTTTCATGGTTTCGCCCAAGGCTTGATTGGATCTGTGCGGACGTCTGTCCAGAGTAGAGCGCCATGGCTCATGGCTAATGTGTCTGGTTTTTGGACTCACTGGTTGCCTACTAATAGAGTGGCATCTGATTGTCTAGGCTATTTCATGCCATGTCCATGAACGCTGGATCATATTCAAGTCTAAAACAACATAACTGACATCCAAAATGTCGAATGCCCACTAGTATTCACTAGTATCCACTATAGTGCCCGCTCGTGTAGACCCTTCAACACGCCCACGCGTTCAGGACCGCAGCCACAGGGCCAAAGCCATTTCGTTCCGGCCAAAGCTCCAGTATCCGCCGATGGGCTCGCAGTAGAAGCATGGAGATCCTGAGCAACGGCCGTTGCCCAGCCAGTTCGCGGCAAGAAATCCAAACAAATTCTCATAAAATCTTGAGGCCTCCAAACACAAGGGGTCGTTTGAGGGGGTCCCTTCAGAGATTTCTCTCTCTCTCTCTCGATGTGTTTTCCTTATTGATGGATGAATCCGGAAAGTAGCAGACAGCTTGCATACGCAAGCACTGCTTGCAGCTTGTCTTTCGGTTCAAACTGACATTGCAGCTTGAGGCTCCGTCCACGGTACTCGCATTGTACTTGACATGGGTACGAGAATTGGCGCATGCGCAGGCTTCTGGAGTGCATTGGTCCGTGGCCTGACAGGCTGGCGTTAAAGCCATAGGAGCTGGTGCTGGGAGTGCCAGACCTAGATCTCTATCTCTATACCCGCTAACATGGACCCTGACAATTGAGCCGTGAAAACCATTTTCCTCCACAACCCAGTCGATTTTAAGGTTCCACACTAATCTGCACGGGAGCATGGCAAACTGTATTTTGGTGCACATGTCATCGCGCACGATTCTCCGAGAATTCTGCGATCGAACGCATCTGGGCCTCGGTGCAAGCAGGCAATCTCGGAGGTTCACAGGCATAACAAGGCTGTCCATCCAAACTCACATTCCTCGGTTCGGGTTCGGTGTCTTTCTCCCAAGCGACCGGAAGTGCTGCAGCCAAGGAGCACCAGCTCGCGCACGTGAGAGGCATTAGCACAGCGGCACTCGTCATAGCTGCAGCCGTCACCGTCGCTGGGGCATAGAAAAGCCATGGCTTTGGATCGAGCCCTAATAAGTTGACCAAAATCATCCAAGACCCATGGAAGGATGAAACATGGGTGTGTGTGTGTTGATAAGTGAAGTGAGTCTCTGTGCCGGTGATGATTATAATGTTTTGTCAATGTTGCCCTGATGCATAAGTATGAGTCTGAGCCACACGCTGAAGTCTTCAAGCATTGGAACAACACTCCCCAACTCTTGGCTATCCTTCCTCCATTGGGGATTGAGGGAAGGCACGCGCACCGGCAATCCATGCTAGAAACGAAACTGACCAAACTGACACATTTCAAACATGAGTGTGAAACATGTTCCCCAATCTAAAACATATCTGCAAGCAAAACACATCGAATATGTTCTTAACGCCTGGTGCAAACCTGCATGCTTTCTCGGTCCAGGCCATCCTGCGCGTCACGCCACATCCAAAGCCAACCTCAACAAGGAAAGGGATCTGGACATATTTGTTGCCGATAATATATTCAAGGGCACTACGAACGGGGCTCCTGGCCTTACTACTTAGAAACAAGGTTTGCTATTAGAAACTCATCTAAATTAAGAACATAATTTGAATTCAATCAAGAAGCTACTCTAAATGTCCGGGACCCGTGGCCTTCCGTGTGCGTTTCTTTTCCTGGTAGCTTCTTGTTAGGCCAGGAGCCCCGTTCGTACCGTCCGATCGCTCCGTTCGTAGCGATGCCCTTTGCTCCGGGTAGCTGCGATGGCCTGCTACACTCTATTCCTTTTTCAACCCTTCGTCGCTGCAAAAGATGTTCTGCAGTTGAGCGCCTGCCCTTGCCAACCCAAATTGCAAACGTCTGCATCCGGTTGGCTGGGGTGCAAGCGCTCGGAAACACGATGACATCTGTGACATCTCTTGAAAGGCAGGCTGGCCCCCCAAGCTTTGAAAAAGGCCACTTAAAAATAGCTCGTGAAGTGGAAGATTGAGGAGACACGTCTTCCAAGCTGAAACCTTCCGTGGGTTGTGGATGGTGTACTGGATGATGTCTCCTTGCTGCTTAGGGGTTTTGCCACGCAGGCCGATGCATGGTCCACGCACATTGCCCGGCCACCTAGCCCCCCCAAGATTGCAGACCCGATCTGCCGGCACAGAGGGCCGGAGATCTTCAGAAATGCGGGCCGCACGTCTCGTCGGGGGGAGTAAGGAACTGTAGGACGCAAAGGAAAGGGCCTGGGGAATGCTGTACGAAGTTTTGGTACCCGGAGTGGTCAAACGCATTGACAACACACACTGCTTCTTGTGAGGCACTCTTAGTGCCAAAGAGCATAAAGAGATACAAAGAGCACTCTCTGACAATCTGATCCTCGCGAACAGTTCCATACCAGGAGGCCAAGCTGTGCATGCAGCGGCTGAGTGCACTTAAACACGGAATGGAAAATATATTTGCCTCTGAACTCTGATGCCCAGCATCAAGGAACATATGGTTGGGCACAAGCCTGCGCTTGTAGCTTGTGGGGAACATCATCACAGTTGTCGGGTTTACGAACTCCGTATGCAAACAAAACTCCGTATGCAAGCACGGACTTTCTGGCTTGTGTTTCTGGGATTCCTAAGCCTTACCTGGTTGATACGCCTTTCTTTGTCTTTAGGTCGGCACATGTGCACCCTACAGGACCAGGAATGTCTCTATTATATTGGGATCCCTCTCCGTGACACAGCCGTCCAGCCGTCCGCCATTCCATCTGTTCTTGGGGACCCCCGTCCGCCATTTGAAAACGCACTCAACCAAGGCGGCGCCGTTTGTCCTCCAATGCGCTGTCCATCTATCATGTTTGATCCACGTCACTCATAGCAGAAACAAACATCAAACCATCTCCTGCAGTGAAAGGGTTCCTTGCTGGACACCGAGTTATCCCGACCGTCGTGCCATTGAAAGTGCAGCCCAGGCTGCGCACGAGGCTCTGAGAAGTTTGAGGCACTGAGGCACACGGATAGGTGGATCTCAGCAATCAATGACCGAATTCAACTGGATCAAAAGGGCAAAAGGGCTCTATCCATCTCAATCCAGAAATAGATTTGCAGGGCCACGGGTTCTTGACCCATACCCTCTTGCACTGAAGCTACTAGTACAAGGGCACTGACCCAGTTGAGGTGGATCTGGGATTGACTGGAGATGAATTTGGCAAGCCACTATAGGCGCGTGATGTCCAGCAAGAAAAACTGTTTGACTCCCTTCCAGTGACCCTTCCAGGTGCACAAGTGAAATGCAGGCTCAACGGAGGGTGTGTGGAGAAAGGGGGTCAGCCAGAATCGCTTATACGAAGTTAGTGCATCAAAAATATCTTCTACGAAGTTCTACTAAGGTTTCTGGGATTTTGTTGCAGTCAGTTTTCCTACTGGCCCACCATTCCACGAAACGTCCACGAATAGCCCCGGGTTCCACAAATGTCCCGCGCCTTCCACGATGTTAGTAGAATAGGTTTTTGCAAAACTCTTTCTGTGCACTACCTTTCCGTTTGCCTCTGATGAAAGGTCACCCCAGAACAGTATGGACAGTGTAATGTGTTATTATACAGTAATTAACACATGTTCAGAGGCGATGAGCTTTTCTATTGAGATGCAATGTCTCTATCAAAAAGGGCGGTGGCTACCGCGTCTAGTGGCTTGCGCTCCGAATCGAACAGTTCGATTCGGCCACAGGACTCCACAGGAGGAGCACAAGTGACAAGTGCCAAGAGCTTGTGCCTGACCCCCCTTAGGGGGACGAGAGCCCACTCTGGAGTCTGGATGTACGTATTCAAACCCGCGAGTCACGCTTCAAACATCCCAAGTCTGGGAAAGTGCACCAGATCTTAGTCAGATGGAGCTCCAGGATCCAAATATGTTCAATCGAAGGCTTGCTAGATGTAAAGCCAAGTTGTGCAATCCAAAGAACATGGATTTGTTGACCCCCCGAACATTGGGATGATGCCATCTTTGGCACTTGGCCACAACGACCTTTCAAGCTTCAGCCCTGCTGGGCACAGTGAATTCAGGGTTAGCAAAGGGCCTTACTACTAGGAACAAGAAGCTAGTAGAAACAATAAGCTACTAGGAACAAGTGCATCGCTTCTAGTAACAAGTGCCTTACTAGTAGTAACAAGAAGCTAGTAGAAACAATAAGTATTGTTTTTGGAAGAAACTCAAACACCACCTGGTGGCCGAACCAAGGGTTACTGTGTCAAGAGCCATTGCCTGTAATCTAGAATTCCCCAACCCCCGGGTGACCAGGTGGCTTAAACATCAAAACCACTACAAGGTCCAGGTACGCTACAAGGTTCCAGGTGCCCTGGTCTGGTGTGAAGGAGTCACTGTTTCATCGCTTCACTGATCCTAGTAGCTTCTTGCTCCTAGTAGTAGGGCCAGGAGCCCCGTTCGTACCGTCCGATCGCTCCGTTCGTAGCGATGCCAGGAGCCCCGTTCGTAGCTTCTTGTTCATGCGCCTTGACTTGCATGGGGAAGCATTACACCCAATCCACTTTGGGCAGCAAAGGGGACTACTGTTTGGCCATGAACATCCGTTGGCATTGCGTGATCATGATGCATGATCAATTGATCAATTTGGCTGAAACCATCCCTAGCCCTAGCTCCATCTGAACCAGTGCTTTTCTGGTTCAGGCGGACGTTTTTCTCAACGCCTTTGAAAAAAAGACCAAACCTTTAAATTCAAATGTATTTATGCGGATGCTCAGCTGCTCCGCACAAAAAAAACAAAAGAAGCACATCGTTCCGGCGGTCAGTCGTCTCGGCCCGGTCGCTTCGACGCCGTCGGTCTGCTCGCGCGGTCCGCTCGTGGCACGTCGTTTCACTCGCTGTGATGATCATGATCACTGCTGTGGACGCTCGCCTTTTCACCACCTTGATGGCTGCTCCTGAGGCCATGCAGCATCTGAAGCTGCGAACAAAAACACATGATCAAAGGCAGTTAGAAGTTAGAACCGCTGAAGCAAGCAAGTTAACACACAGGCGGTCCAACGACCAACAGGCCCTGGAAACACTCACTAGATGTACCTGATCCAAGTGGCGCATCCGTCTCACTGGCCCCGGTGTTGGTGCTGAAGGTGCTCATGCCACCGTTGCCGCCCTTCTTGCCACTGCCCAAATACTTGTGCAGCGTCTTCTGAATCCTTAGGCCCCAAGAGGTCGCAAGGCTCCCGTGGGAGACGTCCCCCCCCACATGCTGCCAGGTGTTTCAAAACTTGGAGTAATAGGTGTTAAACATGAGAAACACGACCGACAAACATTTGGTGCACTTTCTCTTTGAAGGACTAATGCTAGGACGATTTAGACATGCCAAAACATGCAAAACCTTGGCACTTTTTGCGGAGCAGAATGTCTTCGAGCTGAGAACTGAGGGGGTTGATGGGCAAAGGCACATACCAAGCACGTCCAAAGGACCACCGACCAGCGCACGCCACACAAAACACCATGCTCCCAAAGCTATGACATGCTATGACAAGCGATGACAGTTCCTTCAAACCACCTCTTGAAGATTGGTATTGACTTCTCCATCGTGCACACTAGTGCATACATATTTGCTCGCAGCAATGACGGATCAATCAGGGTGTTTTCATGTTGCTCTAATCCACGCCAGTGTTCTAGGCATCTGCTTCTAAGGGCGTTAGTTTCTGGGAGAAAAAAGCCTTGAGAGTACCGCTGTGCCGTCTCACAAAATGACAAAAAAGAACTGGCTGTCACACTGCCAACTCATCCCCCCCAAAGAAGTCTTCTTTCCTCAAGATTCACCAACCCATTTGGTTAAAAGCATTTAATTTTACCAAACCCTTTGATCTCTGTAACTCCTGTGGTGCATGAAAGCGGGTGTTTCACACGGCCATGTTGGCCCTAGTTGTCCGGTTTGGACTTCAACCTTGCCGGGCCGCGTTTTCTGAATGGTCCTGACGCAGGCGGCATTTGAACAATTCATTAGCTAGAAGTTCCCACCTTGGATTTGGGTAGGGTCCAAATCAGCCGACTACAGCATGGTTCTTGTCATGCAGTTCATTTTTCTGAGCTCCTCCCAAACCCTTTTTGGCCGCCCTCGTGAACCAGCTTGGGCAGAACCGTAAAGATGTGAATGAACGATCACGGCAGTTGCTCGAGGCTAAGGACTACTGGCCTAAGGGCCTAATAGCGAACGCAAAGGCGTTTCTGGCTAAGTTTGGTCAATGGCGTCAATGGACAGAAGTTTCGCTCAGTTCTGGTCTCAAATCTTCCGATGTCCTCTCAATCGTGTCAACGGTGCCCTCAATCTTCTCTGGCCAGGGTAAATGCGATTCCGTTCGTCCACCAAAGCGGATGATCTGGTCCTGGCTGTGCAGCTAAGGCGTCTGAAGCAATCGTTTCACAGGGGTCGACGTCGCAGAAAGTCTTGGCTTGGGCGGGAAGCAGTCACATTTGATGAGAGTGAGTACTAAGGAAGTGGCAAGGGACGTTGGCAAATGAATTGACAATCTGAAACTAAATGAGACAATAACAACTTAGATAAACGGTATATAACACTATACCATGGTTCATCCAACAGCGCTTGCGACTGCGTCGTGACAAGAAGGCATCTCTGCTCCTTTGCAACGGGGTGTGCCAAAGCTGGCTCAAAGGTCTTGATGCCTCACGCAGCCAAGCAAGGTGGTAGACTTTGCAATGCCCTCAAGTCCTTGAAAGAGAATTTGTTCTGCCCTTTTTGGTTTTGCTGGTATTCCCACACTGCTCCGCAGCCACGAATTCCTATCTTCATTCCTATCGTCATTCATCAAGGACAAGGAACTTGTGGGCAGGTCGGTTGTACAAACAGGTGCCAAGCAATTCAGCAATCCGCCTCCAGCCAGGCCGATGTCGCCCTGTTCAAAGTCCACCTTCTGATCCAAATGGAGGGCGTTCATGAATTTCTGCCAGCGTGTGAGCTTGACCGCCTAGCAGCAAAAGAGTAGAAAGCAAACACATGGCAGACTTTTGCGGTCTAGGGCCCCAGCGGTGTTTGGTGGCGTCTGGGTCAGAAGAACGCTCGAGATTCTGTTTGAAAATTGTGGCGTCAGGTTGGGTGAAGAGCGGAGCGCTTCAGAATAAATTTTGTGGCACCCGTGACAAATCCACACACTGCTTCGGCAAAGCTAGAAACAAGTCAAGCTTTGCCTCTCACCCTATTTGAGTCATTGTCAAGGCAAATCCTGCCACAGCAAAATGGACTTGTGTAATTATTAATGTTGCCATCTTGAGCTGTTGGCAACTTTTCAAACATTTAACATGCATGTAACATGCTTCTTCCTTATTCTTCGGCTCCAGCCATCCGTACACATTCCAATTGACAAACATTCCTCATAGCCTAAATAACTCTTGTACACCTGGTCTTTGGCCTTCAATCTAACCGCCACACCCCAAAGTGCCCATTGAGTCACTGGCCTTAAATGTTTCAATGATGATCTCACCCCTTGCCAGCCTGGCACGGAAGCATGCAACGCACCAAACTCTGCTGGATCCTGTTCAAAATCGATATATGATATATGATATATGATGTAAATAGTGAGGACTGATGACGGATTGCAATGGCCAGTGTGCCTCGTTGATATGTTTAATTACCCAATTGTTGCCTGACTGCGACATCCCTATCCCTATCCCGTTCAACCCCACCTCGCATGTCCTTTGATGTCGGCAGCCAGCGAGGTGTAGACTCCACAGAACTGCCTTGGGACAGCACCCATGGCACACCCGTGGAGCGGAGTCGTCATCGGAACACCCGCGGTCGGGCGGAAGTTCGACGAGTTCGGTGAGTTCGACGATCCTCCGTCCGGTTTGAAAAACCGGTTCGGAAGACGGGGAGACCCGCCTGCCCCCGGCAGGTCTTCGCGATCCTTCTTCCGGGTTCAGCCACGAAAGGAAAAGGCACATCCTGCTCAATTTGTGGGACAACGTGATCTAAGAGCAGCTTCGAAAAGCCGAAGAGCGAGACCAGGAGATTGAAAAAGAAGGTGTAGACCATCATCATGAAAAGGATGATGACCTCGGTTGCCAGGATCGATGGTAGGCAAAGCCCCAACGGTCGCGGCCATCGTTGCGACCGTATCCCTTTGCTCGGTCCTGATATAGGGGCTTGACAAAAGGCTTTTTCGGATAGTTTTTTCCACATATTATGACGAAGAACAGAATCCCAACTCTTGAACAAAGTTGGACCAGTTCTAAAACCTCTTGGGTCAGCTTGGATCTACTTTCTGCCATTGAACTCCTTTCGTTCACATACGGACCACATTTCCCAAGAATAATTTGGGATCTTTGCGAACCAGGGTGGAACCGTAAACATGTGAGCGAACCAAACTGGCATCGGCGAGGTGTACACCATTATGGAATGCAACTCCTGAAACTGCTCACCCTAAAAACATTAGGTCTATAATAAGTATCCGACTACGTCACTTGTTCGTCAGATTTTCAACACATGCGCCGCAAATTGGCTCTATACTTGGGCTTCTCTAGCCGCTAGCCTTAGCTTCTCAAAATCTGGCACTGGTGAAGGAAAAAAAGACACTGATTCGAGTGAGTTGTTTCTTTCCTCATCGGCGGGTGTGCCACAAGCTGCCCAGATGCCACGATCAGCAGGGGACTGTCTTCTGCCACGTGCTGAATCGATCCCTTGGGGCGAGGTTCTTTGAAACATGACGTTCGATGTCTCTAACCATCGGTTTTGTCCCTGAATTCCTCAAGAAGTCCTCAAAAGAATCGAATGTCTGAAAAAAACTGTTCACAAAAGAGCCCGCCAGTCGCAAAGTGCCAACGACTTATAATCCAAAGGAACGCAGGGACATGCTGGGACGGTGTGTTTGTTCAGTAGCCAAGTCCGAAAGCGATAGCAGCTGCTACTGGACCCTTAACGTTTCCAAGTGCACGAGGTGCAGCTGGGACGCCAAAGTATGAAGAACCAATACTTCTTTCAAAGAAGGATAGGCCAAAAGAGTCTCAACATGTTTCAATATGGTCCATGCAACACGCCCTATTGTTCGCATTCTTCCACCACATAGTCCGCCCTACCTGGCCCACGCAACAGGCCCGACACCAAGGTTCGATGTCCATTGCTCCGAAGGACAGGCGAATCAATGTGCTGATGATGGTTCCGACATCCGCCCATTCCTTGATGTTGCTGGGGACCAGCACGGGAAAGCTTGCGGAACCAGTGTGTAAAGAAGGAACTAGTAGCGTCCTTGCTCCTAGTAGCGATGCCAGGAGCCCCTAGTAGCGTCGTTGCCTCCTAGTAGTGATGGAACCAGAATCTGAATTCAACATGCCAGTGTAGCAATCCTGGAGTACCTTGCAGGCCCCCTTCGAAGGTTCAATTGTCCATCTACTAAATTAACATGCACCACATAATGAGTTACCAGAGGTTACCAACTGAGACTGAGAAACCTGAAAGAAGTATTCTCGATCCCCTATAATGATGCGACGGTTTCAGTGAAAAACATTGAAAAACCGTTGAGTCTTGTAGTGTTGGATCTGCTGCGTGTATAGTCCTGCACCCTGCCATGATCGTTTAAACCTTTACAATCATGTCAACGAAAGCTATCTGCTATCTGCTCTTCTGCTTCTGGGATACCTGGTGCGCTAACAAGCCAGGAGTCAAAAGTCGACGTCTCAATTCCCAATCTCACAGACCGTCCAAAATCGTCAGACCGCCAAACATCGTCAGAACACAATGTCATAACTTCCAAGCTCACCACTGAAGTTCACAGGGTGGTGAAGCTCACTAAGCTTTTCACCGCTCGAGTGCCTTGCTCTCCTTGCTGTTCTTGGCATTTCCCCATGTCATGTGCCTCCGCACCTCCCGCGGCGCAACGCCTTGGACTTTTGCGCAACCGAGAGGCCGTCAAGCTGGTCAGGTGCATCATCTGGGCAAAGGACCGGGGATGAGAAGGGCACTGGGGTCACTGTATACGGGTGGCACAGTTCACTGAAAAAGGGGGGTCAAGTCCCTGCAGGAAGTGTGCGAGGTTTGCATCTTCATTCTCCCTTCGTCACCTGTTGGCATCAATAACTCAGTGCGCACTGGAATTGGTGACGGGAGAATGTGCGACATGAGCCCAAGAAACAGCTCTGGGCCACCTAAGATAGTCCCCAAGCTAGATCTGCTACCATTACCAGCTAGTGCTAGTCTGCAGAAATGCGCAGCAATGCTGCTTCTTCATTCCTGCTGCGCTTTCAAGGAGCTACTGACAACCTAGAATTGCTGGGCGAATTCTCATGCTCCATTCTGGGACGAGCGAGCATGAGCAGTAGAAAATGCTGACACAGGTGCCAAGCACCTATGATCTCCTATGACTCCTATGATCCAATACCTACCATACCTACAAACTGAACAAAGATTTGGAAGCAAACCTCGGATATTTGGTGGACACCCAAAGTTTTTTTCATGATGTTTATAGTTCAATGTTGACCAACGGCAATCGCTGAATTTCCGAACATGCGCTTTCTCTTGGCGGATGTTGATATCGTATGACAATGATCTGACAATGTCTGAATTTCTCACGCAGAATTGTACGACCTCTAGGTCTTGATGGTGTGGATCCCGATGGCCATCTCCGCCAATTCTGGCCCCCCGGCCAGCGACCCACGACCTCAGGCTGAAACGACCTCAGGCGGCGATTTGTCCCCCCACCCAGCACCAGGGACGGCAGCCCTCCAGACACAGGGCCAGGCGAGGTTCTTCCGCCCCGACGCACGGCAGCCTCCAAGTCTAATCCATTCCCCCCAGCCTCGCGGGTCATCCCGGAGATAGCAAAGGCAAAGGTCAGAATGGTGAGAAGGACCACGCCGAAACACAGGAGTACCTGGTGGTGACATGGGGTTGACCCCCCATGAGGGCAGTCTTTTATGAGATGTCATGATTTGTGTACAGATCATTTTGCTATATGTGCGTTTTTTAGCTGAGATTGGTCCTTTTTCAGGGGGTACAGTCAAACTCCACAAGCACACAGGCACAATTACAAATGATTTGGGTAGTAACACCTCTTCTGGAAGCCTGTTCCGAGAAATTCCCATCAAAAAAGCTGCATAACAGCCAATAGGCCAGCAGGAGATTGGCGCAAATCGGTGCCTGTTTCTGACACCTCTCTTTCTCTCTAAGATACGTGAGGGACTCTCCGGGCAAAAGAATTGGTGACGCTAAATGCCTCATCAGTCCCAGGCGGGGCAAACATCAACATAAACCACGACAAGAAATGGTCCCCTTTTTCGATGGACTGTTGCCAAATGCAAGGAAACATCCAGCTACATGTTATCGTTCTGTTCTCCGCCTGTTTAGGGAACGGAACATCTGGGGGCATTCTCTTGTTGCGTTCTAATCCATCTTATCCAATACTGTCCAGCTATATGTCCAGCTCCCTCTCCCCACGTGCCTGCTCGATGGCATGTAAGCAAAGGACTCGATACTCTGAGAGTTTGATTGAGACGCTTCCGACCTCAACGATCAAGATCACATACCTCAGAGAGGATCGACAACTCCACGCTGGAACCTGGACTGGTGTGATGTTCTTCACCATGGCAGATTTGTCAATTTGCTGATTTGGGGGCGACTGGGTTTATAGCCAACTAGCATAGGAAGTATTGGTCTTTGGCTGACGTTGCGTTGAAGCGCCTCTATAGGCCTTCGGCGGCTTTGTGAGATGAGCATTTCCGGGGCTTTTCGCCGGCCTACGATGGGTGGCAGCCGAGGTTGGCCAAAAGTGGAGGCCTTTTCACCACGCCACTGAAGACACCTGCCAATGTCCTTCATCTGTGGCAATCTCGCGTTTCTGCCTATGGTCAGACACAACTACATCTTCAATGGTCTTCAGAGTCCTGCTGCGAGACTCGACGGACTTGAAAGGGAGGTCATTGTTTAAAGGCACGGCCAGGCAGGGCCATCTACTCCACCTGCTCCCAGAGCACCTGCGCTTACCAAGCGGCAGGAAGACGGCAATGATCACAAAAATCTCATACAAGAGACCTCACAATCAGTGGCTTCCAGGCTCGTTCTTTGTGAAGTTAGGTCTGACTTGAATCCCGTAGTCTCAAGCTGGCTAAGGCTAGTCTTGACCTCCCAATGGCCTTATGTGGCCTTTGGCATGCCAAGTTTACTCTGAACCTGCTGTGCTGCTTTGGCCCAGGACTCTGCCGTTCGGAAAAGGTGAGGACCTCCACAGCTGTGGATTGACCGACCCCCAATCTGATGAGGTTTGACAATCGAAAAGGGGCGCTCGTTCTACATTCATTTATATGGTCTAGTCCAGTCCCGTACCTTCCCGCATAGCCTTCCGCGTTCCAAGTCGCTCATTTCGTCGGTCCAGGCGGGGCAACGCAGAATGTGGCCCTGGCGGATCTACATCCCCGACAGCAACCGCGCGGCAAAACACCTGTTCATCATGTTCCTGAGAATCGTGAATTGAGATTGTGGCAAAAAGAGATGAAACAACGAAGCAAGGCTCATTCAAAACACCCAAACGAACGGAGCTGAGCACCTCCTGAGCGGCGATACAGTGCATAATTGGCTCCACCTCCCGTGGCGGTCCGGATGACAAGCTGCGCACAGAAACCATGCATGTACTATCTGAATTCATCTGATGCATCTGCCGCTGTCAATCTGTGAGCATCTTATGGCATCTTTTGAAACTCAGCTCGGGGGTCCCTCGCATGAACACCGCTCCACACATGCCATGCAAGAAAGTGCAACCATGATTTTCCCAACAGTGCAGCCCAAACTCTATATATAGGACATGCAACTGCTAGTGTTCTTCATCGCGCTCGAGAAGCTCGAAACGTCCGTCTTTTCCTGTCCCTCCCAGCCGTGTTCATGGCAAGCAGGTCCATCATCAAGAGGAAACTCAAAATGTCCGAGCCCCGCATGAGGTAGGCAGGGAAGTTCAAACGTTGAATCTTCACCACGGCCTTAGAAATCTGCAAAGAGTTCAACTGATGAGGGATGTGAGGGATTATGCTTTCTTGGTGGGTTGCGACTTCAGGCACTTTGCCGAACATTCGGAAATTCTTCACCCCTACTTACTTAACATTTGCATTGCACTGGTTTGAAGGATTTGAAGGTGTCTAATCTGGGCGCTGCATTTGTGACTCGATGCAACCAAGCTTGCGCTCAAGAAACCATTGCAAATATCAAACAACTGATGTAACCAAAGCAATCAGGATTGATCAAATACTATTTTTGCCTTGGTCATTGCACGTGGTTTTGCCATGTTTTGCCAAAGCAGGACGAACCTTGGTGCCCCATAGAAGCCTTGATGAAATGCTTCGCGCCACTTCACTTATTCTCGGGCATGGCGTGCCCCAGGCGACCAAAACTACAATTGAATTCTTCAAAATTCTGGCAGTATCTGGCAGTACTTCTCAACTTTTTTGCCGGGTTCATCCAAATTGTCGGTTATTCACTGCCCACAGCTTCCCATGTTGTGATTTTAAGCCTCTACGAGTCATCAACACATGGAACATGTACTTCTGGTGCCCTTGCCCGGCCAGGCGCGCCAAATCTGTAGGCGAGGAAGATTTGGCAGATGTGCCAGTAGAGCAACCGAAGGAAACCCAAGGTGTAGACCAAGATTCGGCCCACCACAACCATACTCCGAGACCTCAATGTCTGCAAATGTCTGCTACATAATCAGTGTTTTCTTTGTCCTGATGGTCAGGGGTTCCAAGGGGTTCCAGAACCCACCTCTGAGGATGCCCAACCCAAAGCATTTGCAGCACCTGTTCCGAAAATGACATGTTCACACACGCGCACGCACACACCACCCAGTCCCATTCATACACCTATACTGTCGTCTACTCTCCCCTCCCCTCTCTTCCCGTATTAGAAATAGCTCTGACAGAAGCAGTTGGCGAATGAAGTGGAGTCCGGAGTCACCGCCTGCGACCGTCCTTCCGAGACAATCCGAGGGCGGTCGCAGGGTCCGGTTCCCACCTCCCCTGGGCGGAGTTTGAGGGTGCAAAAGAGCGAGAACATCAAAGGAATGCAAGATGATGTTTGAGTACACCGCTATGTATATAAATGTGACGCACTGTGCAGCAGTCTCATTCCAAATTTGCGCTCCACTGGGCATGTGATGGACAGAGTGGAGCGCTGTGAAAACTCAAAAAACGTCCAACATCATTGACCATGGTTTCAGGTTGTTTCTGACACTTGAAACGGCTCCTGTCCATGACCGTAGCTAGTGGAAGAATTGCTGGCCCTCTCTCCGAATCTGCAGCCACAAGCAGGACTCCTTTGTATAGGCAAACTTCCACATCCGTCTCAAAATCACAAAGCCCACATAAGCCCACTGCAATGTTTTTTGAAGGGTTCGCACGCAGGCACCTCATCAACCGTCTCGAATTGAGTGGAAACTTCGGGACACCAGGTTGAGCATCCTTGCTACTACTGGTAGGTTGGAGGCCATTGCTATCAATATATAGGTCATCCCACCTCGTTTCACAACTGTTGGCTCGGTTAACTGGTCGTGGACGAACGCGCACTGCTTGCAACCCGGAGGTGGACGCATGAACGAACGCTGCGAAATCAACCAAACTTGTCAGCCTTTTTGGGCCACGCACCAACCAAGTTCTGCGCGCAAAGCACCACGTGCAGCTCTAGTTCGTTGAACACCGCGTTTTAGTGCAGTTGAACATCGCGCGAGGCATGGAGAAAAGGGCCTCTCCCTGAACCATGTCAAGGACGCATCAAAACACCATCAGGCTCGTCAAAGGGCTTGAGGCACAAGAGCGGGGCACCATCAAAACGTGACCGGGACACCCACAATAGCAGCGTCATCTGGGTAGCAATCACGACAAAGGCAAAGAGTGGTCTGGTACGTATGATTCTGTGGTGCGTTGTGCTAGCAAACAGTTTTGCTGTTGGCAGGAAGTGTGTTCTTGTGTGAATCAATGGAACAAGCGTGACTGGAACAGAAGACATGGCCTTCAAAGACCAATGAATGGGGAAAAAAACAACTATGCAAAAACAACACACATCATCACACATCCACGTCCAAAATAAAACAAAACAAAAAAACATGGCAACATACACCCAGCAAATTGTTCAACCCATATATATATATAATTAAGCGAACCTGAAGGCCTGCAAAAGTGCTCCCCGTGTGTGCATTTCAACAAAACACATCGATCAATTCTGTGCAGTTCCGGGTCTGCTGAGCATGTGTACACCCCCCCCCGGTCGGCGACTGCGCCCCTTGTCAGGTTCCAGCAACGAAGGATCATCCAGGAAGGCGGGCTGATTCATGTAACCTCGAGCTCAGGGGCTATGGGCACCATGAAATCTAATGCTTGTTGAGGATGAATTTTCTTATATTCTTTATTGTTTTTGCTTCATCGTGTTTCTTGCTGAGATATGTGATACGTAAGATTTTTACTGCGCTGACTGTGTATACGACAAATCAAAGCCGTCTCGGATGGATCTACTGATGGCCGTCTCGGGGCATTCCGCGATGACGAAGATGATGCAGTTGACGATCGTCAAAATCCGATCCATGAGGAAGTACCGCAGGGCCTCGGGCATTCTCGGTGAGCAAACGGATCCTCCTTTACACCGAACCAACCGCTGAGCGTGCAGTTTTTGGAGCTTTCAGCTGAAATGCCATGAACGTGCCGCATTTCATGGCGGAAGGAGGAGAGTGGACTCTGATGTTATACAATACATATATAGTAGTAACAAGTGCATCGCTACTAGTAACAAGTGCCTTACTAGTAGTAACAAGAAGCTAGTAGTAACAGGTGCATCGCTACTAGTAACATTCTCTCCCATATATCTGTCGACGCATTGACCCAACTCAATAAGTCGACAGAAAGGGTGATTCACGGCCACGTACAACCAAGTAGGAACAAGTGCCACGCTAGTAGTAACAAGTGCCTTACTAGTATATATATAGTAACAATGTTCGCTACTAGGAACAAGTGCCTTACTCCTAGTAACAATAACAAAGTACTAAGTACCCCTCCCAAAATGACTCTTCCGACAACTCGTGAAGTACAGTGAGTTCCTACTGAAGTTTCTATGTTCCATTCCTGTCTGTGCAAAAACTATGACCTTTATGGGTGCCAACCAAGGGCGCCCTTGAATGGCAAAGGCAAATCCTTAATTGCAAAATTACAGGTTGTTCAGTTGCGAAACTTGTTTATGGAGGATCTTGATTGCGCCTTTCAACGTAAAACAACATGCCGGAAAACGGCCTAGTATTTGCAACCAAGGAAGCCGCAATAGTTTGCTTTCGGCTGCCCTCCAATTGGTCTTTCGGCTACCCCACACGTTGAGTGGGCTTTTGCAACTACGGGTGTCTTAAGGGTTGTGAAGCTGCAAAAACCCTCCAAGTTTGTTTGTAGGCATCCCGAAATCACTTTGAGGGATGCCTTTGCCACTACGGGCGTCATTTCGCTATTACAAGATTCATTTTCGCAATTAAAAACTGGATTTCACTATGAACCAATTCTTTCGCTATTAAAAGATTCATTTTCGCAATTAACATGCATTTCGCATCATTTCGCTATGAACTAACTCTTTCACTATTAAGAGGTACCCTGGGGGTCCCACCCATGTCAATCGTCTCCCTTTCCGGGTGAGGCACGAGTTTCTCCCACAGCAAGTCCAAGGAGAAGGCCAAAATCCTTGGAGAAACTGAGCTGCGAGGAGCCATTTGAGGGCCGAGCATGCATCCAAGTTGCTTCCAATCGCCAAGAAAGCCTTGCTACTAGTAACTTAGTAGCTTCCTGTTGCTAGTAGCGATGGCCCCTAATAGTGATGGCCTCCAACCTAAGTATCAAACAACCAGCCTGGTTAGAATACGTTAGAATGGCTGCTAGACTGTGCAACCCGAAAGAAGAGTTCAAGCTGGACCATCGACGAGTCAAGGACCAGGATCGGATGCATGATGGTCTGAGGGTGGTTGAAGCGGATGTAGCTAATCAAGGCCCGCGAGAGCATCTTTGACTCATCCATGTCTTGCAGCAAGTGCTTCAAGTAGTAGATCACGGGCCGCAGATTGTCCTGCTTGGCCATGCGGCAAACATGAAGACATAGGCTACACAGGAAACGGCTTGGGGAAGAGATGCAGCAAACTTGTAGGTGATATTAGACACCTGGATCTTCAATTCGCCTAAATTGTTGTCGGATGCATGTTTCTTGTCATTGAACAAGCGCCGTCATCAAACAACATGTCGTTTCAAGGGTCGCCAACATGTGCTCTAAATCTGGGGAAGGACGCCGTGCTCCAAAGCGCCACCAAACACCGTTTCGTTTTGCTTTCTCACCTCGCACCAAAAAAATACAGAACTATAGAGCTCAAAAATTGGCGAACAAGTGCACTTCCACAGCCTTCCGGACTCAAAAAAATACCCGCCCCTGCAATGTCACAACAATAAACCCAACCTCACTTGGAAAACAAAGACATATTTTCTCTGAAAGAGGCTACTGTTTGTTGCGTTTTGAAGGTTCATACATGTTCGTATAGTTTTCTATGATCCTGCGAAAGGAAGCGTTTCACGAGTCGCAGCTGTAATTAAGGTCCAATTAAGGTCGCATGTGAAAGTATATAGGCGTGTCTACCGAACCCAGGCCCACGACTAGCACCCCATACCTTGAAAGCGGAGTGGCCTAATTCAGGGGCCACCTAATGCCACCTAATACAACAACCGGCAGACCCGATACTCAAGCCCTCTAAAGCCTTGCAACCGACCACGCGATCGCGTGTGAGGTGCCTGGCTCTTGTGCGATCTCCAAATGAGGCCATCCAGCAGGGATTCCGCCAAGAAAGGGGCTTCCCTCAGGATGTTGTCCGCGATGTTGGGTTGGTACCTCCCGTCTTTAGAGCTGCAAGCTGCCGGAAGTAAGGCACGAGAAGGGAGATTGGGAGTAAGATTTAGGACTTCACATGGGGCATCCTGAGGCATATCATCCTCTAGTGTGCAGTGTGCAATTCCACACCTTGGGATAGACATATGAAATATGTCTGTGGGACTCTGCCTGTATGTTCGCACCAGGAGACCGATTCACCTGGTGCTTGACCTCCCCGGTCCCGCCGCTTTTAGCGACGTGGACCCGCGATCCCAGGTGCTTGAACATCTCGTCTGCGCCGTAGTAGTAGTTGTCGCGGTCCTCGGGGGACCGACGCTGGAGGGACAGCACGAGGAAGAAGAGAAAAGCCAGTGAATCGAACGAACAGTATCCGATAGGTCTTCAAACAGTGTGCTGAATAGTGTCGATCAATTATTGAAGATAATTTAAAGATATTGTTTCAGGATCTTGATGGTAATGACCTCCAAAGTCATCGGGGTGCTTTTGGCAAGCGCTTTGAGAGACACACCATGAGTTCCCAAAGGCCCCTAAACATGCATCATGAGTCGGTGGTGGTATGGCCGTTTGAGTATGACAGCCCAAGCGAATCTCAATGGCCCCACAGTGAAAAGAGCCAGATTACATATTTCTCCACCAAAAATGAAGGTGTAGAATGAAATATATTATAGTATAAAGGAATAGGCAAGAAACCACACTCACCTTGACATTGTCTGGTGTGCGGGTGTCTTTGTCTCTTTACCACGCCTGACCGCGAAGGGAGGATCTCTGACTTGCAGAAAGTGTGGAAAGTGTCCCTTGAAACCAAAGAAGGCTACCCATATCTACCCATGCTATCCCGTCCTCAAAAATCCTCAAAAGGGGGCCTCAGCACACTCGGCCCGAACACCGAGCTGCAGCCCGAATCGTGAGGATATCTTGAATCATGGTCTTCGCGGCATCGTGAGCACCGCTCCTTTCGATCGCCGCGGCATCGTGGGCAGTTCCGGGTTTCAGATCTGAAGTTTCGAATATCCTTTTTGGGTTGGAATCAGTTCTGAACTTCTGATCCTTTTTCATGGCAGAAACCCCTCCTCCGCAACCAGTTACAGTAGCCGGTCAGCTGGTTTCTTCTTTGTCGTCCACAAGCCGTCCACAACACATTCAAGGAACCGTTGGGCCCTCCTCAGCGCCCAAAAGAGAGGCGAAATTGATTGGCTACCAACTTGAACAGCCAGCTGCCATACTGACCGCTCCACCTGGGCGGTAAAGCCAAGCAGCTCTTACACCCAAGCAGCTCGAGCCTCCTTCATTGGGTGAAAAACAAGCAATTTTAAATCAAATTAACAATATAATATACTATATTTATTATCTATATTGATAATGTGATTTAAATTTGCTTGTTTTCTTAATAAATAAATACTCCTATACATATAAATAGATATATCAATGGCATCTACTCACATCTGACAGGACAACTATATAATATCTCGACTATCTTCCGTGCTGGCATTTTGCTGCAAATTCAGCAAGGAGCGGTCGGTTTCATGAATAGTTTTTCCCCCAAGATCGATGAGAAATAGGTGTTTCAATAGTGGTTTTCCTTTTTTGCTCGATGCCCAATTCAATGAGCTGGATGCCCAAAGCACACGTGGAGCATCCACCAAAGCCCGTCGCAATCGCTTGGAATCATCAAAGTGGATGGCCTGCCTCGGGTGATCGGTGTGATCTGTAGCGAGAGGACGCGACTTGAACGTCACCGAGCTACTAGGCAGAAGCGACACGAACGGAGCGATCGGACGCGACTCGAACGGGGCGCTACTAGGGCCTTAAAGAAGCTACTAGTAACATCAAGCTGAAACTATATCATTCTGAGTCACTATTGACTGGTCGCCCAACGAGGGAAGAGAAAAAAAAGCCAACGACAAGAGGCATCACTGCAGTGGAGCCATCCATGATGGTTCGCACCAGGACTCTGGCCGTTAAGCCTGGCTGGTTGGCTCAGCCGAGCTCAACCATTGCAGGCCCGGGAATGAGCTGAATACACTCAGGTTGATTCGCCACCCCCACGCCAGCCAAAAATGAGGCTCCTTCACCCGATTGAGGGCCTGTGGGTGTCTATCTTTGAGTCTCACGTGCGGAGGTTCGCCACTGTTTTCCCATGGGAATTAAGCATGAATCAATCCTGCTATCTTCTCCACAGGTTCCGTACTGCGTCATTGGTGTCCTTGGGGAGGGGGGGGTTTCATCCCGGGCCCAGGCAAAGATGGGGCACTTCCAATCCCAAAACCATAAAACCGGATCGTGGTTAAGTAATTACAGGTCTCCTCTTGGGGATCTTGGGGCATATAATTGAATTGTCCACTTCGCAGATTTGTTGGATTCCAGTGCCGCGCCGGGGGGCGCTCTGCTGGTCTCTAGTCCTGTTGATTCGTTTGTCTGCTCCTGATTCTTTTTGCACCCGATGCTATGTCGGGTCTTTGCTGAATTTATGGTTGCATTTGGGTGTTCTCGTGTGGATGCTTTGACACTGGCACTGGCAACCTTCGCGCGAGAAGCAGTTGCGTTACAATCGTCATTGTCACTTCCCTTTGGTGGCATAGAAACTCGTTTGCAATTGCTTTGTAGTCCTTCGTGTTCCATTTGCCGTTCACTTCAACAGGTGTGGCGTTTTTCTCCTCACATTGTCTGCAGACATTACGAAGCCAAAGATCTGGAGTGAAAAACCCACTGAGAAGAATCAGTTATAGGTGTTAGGACGCATCCCTCGGTCACCAGCGCTTGTCCAAGAGAGAGCTGGAGGAATGATGAGGAATGTACAATGCCGTCAAGATCTGCGCCGATTCGGAAGATCCGATACACAGCTTGGGATAAAGGGGAACTTGAAGCCGGGAGAGGCACGTCGGTAGCGTGGCAACCAAAGAACCGGCCTGTTGCGTGAATTTCAACGGAAGTCAGCCTCAACGTCAAAAGGATTCAAAACGTCAGGTCTTTGCATCTGGCTGATTGTCCTAGTTTTAATTTGCTTCCTGGTTTTCACCCACAAGCATTTTGACGGGTTCTGTTAATTCCGCCTTGCATGGTTCTTTGTGGTTGAACATTGGTCGCGGACTGCCACTAGGTAGCGTGCTGAGAAGCAGGCTATGGAGAAGGATCAGCACACCGCTTCTGCTAGTATCCCATGAACGTATTCATAAACACAACCACACACCTTGTTTTCACGCGTTGCAGAGAGTAGGTCTGAACGAAGTAACCTT